GGTGTGTCACGAGTGGCGGGGTGGCGTTAGCGTGGCGCGGGGTGCCTTTTGTTCCTCCCTCCCCCCCCCATTTCGCCGTGGTTGCGCTGAGTGTTGGTGTGGGCGCGCATCTGATGTCGCGGTCGTCGGCGGGGGGTGGTTGTCGGTGGTGTGTTGTGGCGACGAAGGAAGTGTGTGCTGCTGGGGGTCGGCCCGCACCTCGCTCTGTGTCAGGCTGTGATTGGGCGGGTCGGGTGTGTCAGCAGAGCTGAGGTGGTCATGTCCAACAGGGATTCTGGACAGTTGATCGGCGTGAACGTTTCTGGCGCCTTTGAGTTATCGTATCTTCGGCTGATAATTGCTCAGAATCGTAGCCCACCGTAGCAAACGTGGATTCTTCAATGTGGGCGACGTAAGGAAATACTTGAGTGGCTTATGGTCTGTGTAGATGGTAAGAGACGCGCCAGCAAGATAGTGGCGCAAGGTGTCCAGTGCATAGATTATGGCGAATGCCTCGCGTTGTGTGACTCCCCAATGTGCTTGCGAGGGGGTGAGCTGATGCGAAATGTATTGTATGACGACCTCGTGACCGTCATCATTGTCCTGAGCTAAGATGGCTCCAACTGCGAAGTCACTAGCATCGGTATAGAGCTTGTATGGTTTGTCGATGTCGGGATATGCGAGGATGGGTGCTGAGACGAGCTTGGCTCGTAACTGTTGAAAGGCGGTCTCAGCGTCGTCAGTCCATTTGAAGTGGACATTCTTCTTGGTTAGGGTGGTCAAGGGCATGGCGATTTTTGCAAATGATTGGATGTGGGCCCGATAGTAGTTAGCCATGCCTAGAAACGATCTGACCTGACGAACGTTTGCCGGCGGTTTGAGCTGTTGGATTGCCGCAACTTTGGCTGCGTCCAGTGTGACACCGTGCGGCGAGATGACATGTCCCAAATACTTGACAGACTGCTTCAAGAAAACACATTTGGTAGGGTTGAGTTTGAGACCTGCTTGACGTAAGCGATGGAAGACCTGTTGTATGTCAGCAAGGTGCTGCTGGAGATTCGGCGAGTGGATGATAATGTCGTCGATGTAGGGGATAGCACACTTGTTCTGTAGGCCAGCGAGAACCATGTTTAAAAGTCTTTGGAAAACGCTAGGTGCGTTGGCGAGTCCGAACGGGAGGACAAGATTTGAATATGACTGATCATGTGTAACTATGCAAGTCTTATCGACATCCCCGGGGGCCATGGGTATCTGGAAATACCCGGACTTAAGATCTAAGGTGGAATAAAAGCTCGATTTGAAGGGGAAGCTAGAATGTCATCGATACGAGGGAGGGGGTAGACATCCTTCTTGGTTATGGCGTTCAAGCGACGGTAGTCAATGACCATTCTGCCGAGAGGGTCATCTCGTTTCGGAACGATAAAGGCAGGGCTTCCCCACTGGCTTTGCGAGGGCGTGATAATACCGGCGTCTAATAGTCACTTGATGTGAGTATCCATTGCGTGGCGGTAATTGAATGGCGTTCGATAAGGTTTCTGTTGTATGGGTGGCTGAGTTGCCGTGTCAATGTGCATTTTAACAAGGTGCGTACGGCCAAGCTCGGCATCATTGAGCGCGAACAAATCATCGTTTGCTTCGATGAGATCCTGGATGGATTTCCGATGCTGGCCAGTTAGGTGGGTGAGATCGACGGGTAACTTGCGGTGGTTGTGCGCTGCAACGTGGTTGACGTGGGGTTGTGAGCGAGCGGTGGGTATACGAGATGGCTGGGGTCGCAGCATTAGCGGCGTGCAGCTTGTGCTGGACACGTGCGTGGGACGAGACGTCGGCGGCTGGGGGGTAACCTTGCATGCTATGGCCAATGCAGAGCCACGTGGCAGAGTGATGGGCGCCGGCGTGTCATTGAAAAGAGGCACGTGGACATAGGGGGAGTCGGTAGGCATAATAACGGTATTGACCGTGTAAATGTTGGGGTGGGCTGGTCGAAGCGCATTCGCACCAGTAAGTAGGACAGACGCGTGAGGGGGAGGGGCGTTGTGATCGAAACGACCATAGCAACGTTTGACTGCATTGGG